TTGCCTTGAGGCTGCAGGATGGTCATTTCAGCCTATCCATGGGATTGTGGAATAGCTGTTTCTGATTTTACCTCTTTTTTAACTTAAGGAAAACATACTTCAGCTCTAGGCTCATGTTCATTTCCTGAAGTTTAGCTCTTGCAATCTAAATTAGACCTGCCCAGGGTGTTTGCGAGGTCAGTGCTTTTGGAGGCTGCAGTGGAAACTTGTTTGGAGAGTGCTCAGGAGAGCTGGAACAATGTCAGATTGTGCTGGGAAAAGCTGTTTCATGTGGGATGTCTTCAAGGAGCAATTACAAAAATAACACTCGCTGTCAGCCGATAGAGCAGAGCAGTGAGTGGATAATAAATACAAAAATCTGCTTTGTCTTCCAGCATCTCAAGATTTAAAGCTTTTTTATTAGAAGTTTGCGTGGAGAATGGTAATGTAAAACAGCCACTCTTCCAAACAGGTCATAGCTACATTTTAAATTTTAATGTTGATGAGTTGGTAATCTGTTTAAAAGAAAGGATATATTTTTACAACCGTAGAAGAACTTCTGGCCTGTCAGAAAAGTGTGCAGGCACCTAGATCTGGCTCTTTCTCCCCTTCTTATGGCTGCATGGTCGTGTGTTTTACGGGTGCCTGCTGAAATCCCATTGAACTGAGAGGGGCTGTTCCAGGACTGCCTGAGAGCAAACACAATATTAGACATGACAGTTTTCTATCCTTCTCTGAGAAATATTTTTACATGTTGTGTGAAATGAAATTTTATCCATAATTGGCAAATGACCTATGAAATTGTTTTATATAAGCAGTTACACCTTGCAGTAAATTTAAACTCGGTTCTGGTCCACTCAGCATCATGTTCTTGCCTCACAAACCATTGAATAGATCAATTTTTGACTATTTATCATCCTGAGGTTAGTTTTGGCAAGCAACATCTGTAACCTGCCACCATGAAAAATTATTTCCAACATGTTCTTCATTAAACTTTTCTACAATATTCAGCTGTCACTGGAGGATTGCGGCTTTCTGCTGAAGACAAAAAAACCTGCAATGAATATTGACTGTCAGTTGTTCTTCATTAGACTCTCTTGTTTAGATTTACATTTGTGTCTGTTTAGCAGCACACAAATAGAAAATACCAGTTTCCTTGCTAGTTTGCTGAAAAGTATGCAACCCAAACTGACAACAGGAAAGGATAGAAATTTATTTTTTTTAAACACCAGTTGAGTGAAATCAGAACTGATGTTTCCCCTGTATTTGAGGGGATGTTTTCATGTATCTTAGTTGCAAAGTGCTCTCTGTTTTATTAGAAAAAGAGCCTAGTTTCAGCTTGAAAAAAAAATAATCATATCACATTCATATACAATGCCTTTAATTTGGATGGATCTTGGAGACTTTTAATAGTATATTGCATAAACTAGCTTAATTTCAGTATTGCATATCACTGAATGTAATCTGTCCATCAAGAGGCTATGTGCAGTGACCCTGCAAAAGGTAAAACTGGGAAACAAAAAAGTAATGCAGTATTCAGTCTAAGCTGCTGTGGAAATTTGAGCCCGCAGCATGTTCTGAGGAATTAAATTTGGATAAAGGCTAATCTGATACCTATCTCTGGGTTCACTGGAGACAGGGGCTGCTCTCATTAGCAGCTTTAAGCAGGGTGCTGATGTAGTAGTACGAAATGTTGTCTGGAAGGAATGGACCCAAGACCCTCTTCTGTAAATGTACAAGAAACCTTTAAATGTAAGAGTAAATGCCTGTAACTGCAATTAATCTATATGAATACCTGCAATGAATTGGGTAATATTGTTGGCTACTCTTGTCAGCTTGTATCTTTTTCTCTGGGCTATTAAGAAAGAGATCAGGATTTAATTGCACAAATATCAGAGAGGAGCTTGTGCCTACAGAATATGTTTCTGTTGTTCCCACCAAAGAGCAGAATAGAGAGGCAGTTTCAGGTTGTTTGGCTGTAAGTGTGCTTGAGAAACAGCACTGTGCTCTTGAGAGATGGTGTACCCTTGATAAAATTATTTTAGTCTGCTTGATCCGAATAAAATATTCCCGTTTCCATATCAGAAGCAAGCAGAGCATTCATGGCATTCAGCAACCTTAATATTTTAAAGTATAGAAAAAGATATGGAAAATTAACTCTCAGTATCTTTTCAGGAAGGTGACAACATCACTAATCCCTGTGTGAAAGTGTTTCCTCTTTCCAGCAGCCAGTGAGAGGAAACACAGATCACTATGAAGCTGTTGCTCTGTGCCAGCAAGCATAGGATGCCATAGCAGGAAAGGAGTCTTAATAAATATCACTCTAAGGTACACCCCTTGTACACCCAGGGATTTTGCATGGTGTTTTTATGCCACAGTAGCTGCCATCCCAGCGCTGTCTGTGGGTGAAGCAGAAGTTGAGCACCATAATCCCCACAGGAGTGCCTGGGTGCAGGGGGATGTCCAGCTTTTGCAAACTCAGTTATTCAGTACTGGCCTTTGTTTAACAAACATCTCCCATAATAAAACAGGGTTCTCTACCCAGTCTGAATTTCAGCTTGGGTGTGCCCCTTCTTCACCGCTTTTCCCCAGGTTGTTGAATTTGTGTTCCTGGTATGCACACTAAACCCCAGGCTGGTGGCTTTCCATGTACCTGCCACAGTGGTGTTGTCATGTATGCTTCGTGTTCTGGGTCAAGCCCGATCGGTTTGTAGCTCTACATCACCATGTCAGGCAGAGACAGTGCCACTGGTGGGGAAGGATCATGCAGGAGTGGGAAGTGCAGGCAGCAGGACAGAGTGAATTAGGAGCATCCAGGGGCAAAGAGAAAGAACCTGCTTTGGAGTTTAGAAATGGTGCTGATGCTCTGCCCAGCCCTCCCAAAACACTTCAGGTACTGTGATGGGCTGTTCAGCAGCACGTCCATGCCACAGCCAGGCAGCCACACCACACCTGAGACAGACTGAGAGAGTTGGCTGTCAGCCTGGAGAAGGCTCTGGGGGGACCTTAGAGCAGCTTTCCAGTACCTAAAGGGTCCTACAAGAAAGCTGGAGAGGGACTTTTTACAAGAGCATGTAGTGATAAGGCAAGGAGTAATGGCATGAGGCTGAAAGAGGGGGATACAGATCAGATACAAGGGAGAAATTCTTCACTATGAGGGTGGTGAGGCCCTGGAACAGGTTGCCCCATCCCTGGCAGTGTTCAAGGGCAGGCTGGACGGGGCTTTGAGCAGCCTGATCCAGTGGGAGGTGTCCCTACCTGTGGGAGGGGGGTTGGAACTGGATGATCTTTAAGATCCCTTCCACCCCAAAGCATTCTGTGATTCTGTGCTCCCACAGCTCAGCAGGCATCCACCTGTAGTGTCAGCTCCTGCCCCAGGACTCCAGCAGGCTGCTGTTGGGGTACCCTCTGGTGCAGTGGGACCCTACACTGGACAGTGCTGCTCCCTGTGGCAGTGGGGAGTCCTCTGCAACACTGGGGTCTGTGTAGCGTCATCCACTGAGGTGTGACTTCTTCTCATGCCCCAGATGTGGCATAGTTCTCATCAGAGGAGTTCCCTTCCACCTGCTTCTTCATCCCCACCATACTCCCATTTTTAATCGTGCTTCAGCACCATCCATCTCAGTCACATGTCAAGAGCCCTGTGTTCCCATCCAAAAAGAAATAAGGCCAACAATGGGGGAGGGTGGTGGTGTAAAAAAGAAATAATTAGAAAAAGCCAGAGTGACTTCAGAAAAAAAAAATATTTAGAAGAAAGGGGATGGCAAATAGCACCAGTTAATTGAAGCTGTCCTCATACAGAGAATCAGTCTCCCTTTTCATCAAGCAGTAAGAGAAGAGAAAGCTGCTTGATGCGTCTTGTGATCAAGGAATTAAGCCATGCATCTCTGAATCTTGCAGGAAGAGAAGGAAGGCAGAGCTCATTCAGGCAAAGCAGAAACCACCTACAGAGAAGAGTTTGCTTGAAGATAATTTTCATTCATTAGTAAGAATTACCATTCTAAAACTTTTTTAGTAATTGTTTCACGTGACATTTTGCTGCTGTATGTGTGTATATATATACATATAGAAATAAATGAAAAAAATAGTTTGTGTGTGCTATTTGTTTATACACACGACATGGGAATAGTTTCTGTCATGTTGTTGTATCTTGGGACATGATTTTCCAGAGAGCATGAAAGACTGGCACAGCTTTGCTGTCCTTCTGTGTGTGGGCAACACACCTCGCCAACTAAGAGATGTTGCTAATCGAGGTGTATTTTCAGGGAAACAATATGGGGCTTCTCTTTACATCTGTGAAGAATGGGGTTTCAGTCTTACCTCAATGCCCAGCTGAGGTTGGTTTGTGAACATCTGGGAGCTCCAGGGGTGGGAGAATTCATGCCTGTATTTAAAACCTGCTGATAGCTGTTGTTTGTTTAGCTGTTGTCTGAGCGTGTGAATGTGGAACTGTTTTCTTCATAGAGGTGGCTAAGTGAAGCAGTGAAGTGCATATATAGAAATTAACATGGTCTCAGCACTGAAGCTTAATTTTCATAAAGAAAAATATTCTGCTCAGGCACTGCAGTGAGGTATTTCTTCTGTGGTGTTTATGTTCCAGTTACAGTAATTGTCTGAACTGTCATTATAAGGGCTATTATTAAGTACAGTTTTCTGTGAATACTATAGCTTGTGCAGTGGAAGTGTTCTACTGGACAGAGTACTTAACAAGTTATGATTTCACTTGCTGTGAAAATCATATGTAGTATGAAAACCTATGAGTTGTTTCACAATAGCAGTGTTGCCTAGCAGTGCTTCTGAAAAGCTTAACAACTACCTACCTGTCTCTGATATACTAAGGACAGTGAGATCAAACAGCAGTGTCCAGAGTTGAAACAAATATGTTTATTAGAAATCTTTAAATACAACAAGCATTTTTCATTGTTTAAAGATTTATTTTTTTTCTTTGTTTATGTAGAGGTGTTTACCTTCTCTGGAAGAGTGAAATGCATTTAACCAACAGTGTGTCTCTTCTCTCTTAGATTACCGAACTTTGTGGAGCCAAGCGTGTGGGTTATTTTGGTCCTGCTCAATTTTATATTGCTTTGAAGTTAATTGCAGCAGCTCAGTCAGGGTTCCCAGTACGGATTGAGAGCATTAAGAATGGTAAGTAGCGAATTTTGCTTGCAGCACTCTGCACTTGTTTCTTACTTTCTTTAATGCTTGTCAGCTCTCCATGGTGGTAAACCTTTTCTTCTAACATATCTATGCGTAGAGGGTAATGTTATATTCTCTAAGTGATTGGTAGAAAAGTTCAGTGAATTACGTGTGTGGTAAAGCTGAGATGACACCCCCTTCTAGAAAAAGCATCACCAAAGGAGTGGAATGAATGACAGCTGATGAGTGCTAGAGATGCGTTTCTCTCTCACCTTCAGCCTCTGATCTTGACAGCTGTCCAGAATGGGAGCTTACTGCTGAGTCGGGTGGAGGCTTGTTGTGGCGGATGTGGGCAGGTCACAGGTCCCCCTGTGGAGGGCAGCTTGCAACATTCATCATGCTTTAGCAAATAATCCTGCTTAAATAAATAGGTAATGGTGACAAAATCCTATCAGTAGGTATGACAATGTGTATTAGATGTAATTTGAAACAGCTTTGTTCTTCTCAGTGACTTGACAGCAATATTAGATGTACTATTTTTGATGAGGAAAAATGCTTCTTAAAGAGGCTTATCAAATTCAAGTGATGAGAGAAAGCAAGTCCCTTTTAGCTGCAAAACCTTGATAGCAGCTAAATGGCAGGAACTCTGTTTTTACCTTGGTGATGCATGCTCTGCCTTGCTGATGGATGCCTTGTCTTAGCAGGGCTCAGGCTTTAAAACACATGGCTTTTCACTTGGGCTTGAGCCTGAACAGGTTTGAACCTTTAGCTCCCATATCCCAGACAGACATTTAAACCATGCCATGAGGCCATGCCCTGGGCAAGAGTGCTTACCACCATCCAGCTGAAGGCAGTGATGCAACCAGCTGCCAGACCAGAGAGGAGGTAGGAAAGGCAGGATGTAATCATAGCCTTGCAGTTGGGTCACTATTCACAGCACAGTTTCTGCTCTGCTGTAAGGGCAATGAAATGTAAAATCCACCTATGTTACAAAGCACAGTGAAGGGATTCCCTGGTCTGCCTCCATCTGAGAGGGGAGCCAGGCTGGCAAGCATGTGCAGACCTGTGTGAGCTGAGCTCCTGTGATGCAGGGCTCCTGACCAAGTGGAAGGCATTGGATGCAGGTGACGTGGCTCAGTGTCTGGCTGGAAGGGGAGTGTAAACCAGAGGTGAAGCAGGGTGGCTTGAATTTGTCTGTCAGTTTTTCTTACAGACAGTTTGTGCACTCTCTCTTGGCACTGCTATCCTTGTTAAGCATGTTAATTTGAACCTCATCCTCAAAAAAACCCCGAACCCAACCCTAAAAACCACCAACAAATTCATGTAGAAACATCAACTGAGATTTACTGTTTACACATAACAGCATAGGATCATAGAATGTTTTGGGTTGGAAAGGACCTTAAGATCATCAAGTTCCAACCTCACTGCCATGGGCAGGGACACCTGACCCTAGACCATGTTGACCCAGGCTCTGTCTAACCTGGCCTTGAATACTGCCAGGGATGAAGCATTTACCACTTCTTTGGGCAATCTGTTCCAGTGACTCACCACCCTCACAGTAAAGAACTTCTTCCTTATATCTAACCTGAACTTTCCCTTAAACATAAGTTTAAATCCATTATCCCTTATCCTGTCACTACAGTCCCTAATGAAGAGTCCCTCTTCAGCATCCTTGTAGGCCCCCTTCAGATACTGGAAGGCTGCTATGAGGTCTCCACGCAGCCTTCTCTTCTCCAGGCTGAACAGCCCCAACTTTCTCAGCCTGTCTTCATACAGGAGGTGCTCCAGTCCCCTGATCATCCTCGTGACCCTCCTCTGGACTTGTGTCAAGAGCTCCATGTCCTTCTTACTTAGAGGACACCAGAACTGCACACAGTATTCTAAGTGGGGAGTGCAAATAATCCACAGACTTGAGTGAGAAAGGGTACTTGCAGTCCTGGCATTGATATCCTGCTTGCTTACTCTTATTGAAATCCTTCCAGTCCTAATTTCATTGTCTCTTGAAATATATGAGTGCCTTTAGAGTGGGGTGAGTTACATGTACCAACCCAAATTGAGTTCTTTTTCTTCCTGGTAGTAGCTGTAGGTGTAAATTATTACACAAGTAACGTATGGCTTTGCTGAGTTTTGAGCATTCTGTTAATTTGAATTGTACTGATCTTTCAGGGTGACTGTGCACAAAAATAAACGGTGTTTCTTCAAATTAATCACGAATTGTCTTAAAGGGTGACAGAGTGTACCCCTGCTGCTCTGTAGAGCAGATGCAACATGGGACCTTTTGACACTGTCATTTCACCAGGCCTTGGCATGATCTCTGAACCCTACCATTTTGAATTTGTTCCTTTTATGATGGCAGTGTTGAGGATACTGTGATCCTGACTGATTAATTCATCAGTCCCACGGTTTCTGTGGGAAACCATTCTTTTCATTACACACAACGTTTTGAAGACAGGAAATGAGTTTGCCACTTGCTTTAATAATGTGCACAAGGCTTATTTCTTTCTCTTTGCATGGAGAGATTATATATTAAGCTAGTGAATGTAGCTTTGTATAACATTCACATTTTTATCGAGATACAAAATAATCACAGGAGTTCCACACTTACAAATGTTACAAAATATAAATAGTAGTCTTTTACAGATAAACTTTTCATTGGTTTTACAAGACTATACTGCTTAAAGTACTTTTAATGTGCTGCAGTCTCAGCTGAATTTTTCTCTCTTTTAATGAAGAATTGCCCCTGCCACGGTTTATGGCGCTGAAAAATGACAGTGAAGCACGTTACGGGACTCCAGCAGAACTCCATGGAGTTAAGTTTCAGGTTCCACATGCAACTTTGGAAAAAAATTCCTACAAAAGAACAGATGAAGGGGACAAACAGGTAACAGGCTTGTCTCCTTCAGGCCAGTATGTCGTTACACAATCTCCTGGGTCCAATGATTACACTCACAGGGGCTTACTCAGTTTCGTAGTACTAGACAGGAGATAAACTCCTGTCATGCAAATAATCCCCATTGGGCTGTGCTCTATTTTTGATGCATCCCAGTTGCATCCCTGAAGGGAATTTCTCTATATGAGCTTGTATAAAGCTTTCAGCACTGTAATATTCTGTGTAAGTTCTTTCAGCGTTGTCTTCCTACTTAGTCCAGCACTGCTGCTTGGAGAGGCCTAAGGGAGGAGCAGCAAATAGAAACCTGTCTGTGAAAGAGAATGAAAGCAAGCAATTTCTCATGGCCAGTATGATATTTAGTAACTACAGAAATATTCAGCTGGAGAAGAGTTGTTGAATCATGAGCAACTATTTCTGGGTGGGATAAGACCACCAGGTTTTCTTCCATTCTGGCCCTTTAGAGGAGTGGTCCAGAGTAAATCTGCTTTTCTTTGTCCTCAGCGAAACATTGTCCCAGCATTCTCTGTTCTGAGTAGCCAATTTAATAAAGCTCTCTAAGGGAGATTTGTATTACCTATACTTAGTAGAGTTGAGAGCACTTACTCAGATACAAGCAGCTTCACAATGCAACCTTGATTTGCACAATTTTCCCCAGGCCTGACACCTTCTTCTCTGGTACTGTATCAGGTAATGTTGTAAGTGCCTAGTGGCAGGCACTTTATCTTCCTGTAGTGTGCACACACATTTATCACACAGTGTGCCAGTGTGAGTAACAGCATTCCCAGCCTGAGGTCAACGGACAGGAATGAGCTGATGACAAGATGGTGAGAATAACAGGATGAGGAAGAAGAGCATGTATGTTTATCTGCCTGCGTGTACTGACACGGAAGCGGAACATTGCCTTCAAACCCCTGGCTCCATCTAGGTTATCTTTGTTGTGCTGTATTTTCCTTCTTACTCAGTAAAATGTTTCAGGATCACATCCTCCTCCTAAACAATCTCTGTATGTCAAGGGAAAGAGAAAGCTTTAGGGTAGTTACCCAGTAACACCTACAAATCTACAGAGTGCCTAAAATACTGATTCAAGAGGCTTATTTTAATTTTTAATATGTTTTTATATGGAAAATGCTCTCCCACAAAGAATGCACTCACACTATGTTATGCAAATTCTAAGATACCCACTCACATTAAGCCTTCTACGTGTACTTCTTAAGTCATCTTTGGAAGCAAAATATCTTGAGCTGTTCATTGCAAAGCTTTGCTATGGCATTGCCATGCTTTACCTCTAGAAGGCTCAATACCAAAATCTGTCATGCTTTCTCATGAGCTTTTTCGTGGAAAAAAAGGGCCTGAAGGAGCTGCAGTATTTGCAGCTTATCAGTCATGCTGCATGTGTTTGGATAACTGTGCAGGATTACTTGGTGTTTTTTTGGGTCTCAGAATTGCTTTTTGTGTTGATGTGTTTTAAAATAGGAGCCCAGATCTCCTCCAGTGTCTCCAATATGCTCACCTCCTGCTTCTCCATCTACTTACCAGAGAATACCCCTAAGTTATGGATATGGTAAATCAAGAAGTGGTCTGGAGCAGCAGCACGGAGGTAGGATAAAAATTGGGATGCACGCATTGCTTCCAATTTTTTTTTTGTTTTCTTTCTCAGAAGCATCAAATTTCAAATGCAACTGACAATCAGCATAATGATTAAAAATTTAGCTAGACCTGTATTTTGAAAAATTATTTAATCAACTTTATTTTGATTGTTCAATCCTGTCTTTCTATTCATGATCTGGTAAATAAGTTAGATTTATATGTCATGGCTCACAGACAGATGCAAATAGGTAATCTGTGACAAGGCTATGTGCAATGTATCACAGTGACAGGGTGCTTGTGACTATTTTCAGAGTGCATGGTGCCTTTGGTTTTATTAGAGGGGAAGAAAATCTCCTGATTTCAGTAGCCACTATATTAGTTTTCAGATTGGCAGTGAACCTTCCTATGCCAGGCAGGATAATAATCTCTCTAGTCTCTTCGGTTTTGTAACAGAAATAACACTAAAACATGAATATAAAAACAGTCCCACAGTGTCATATAGGCAAAACAGTCAAAAATAAGACGTTGTCCTTGATCTCATTGCCATTAGAGTAGGTGGCAAAACATTCCGATTTTAGTAAGAAGGTAGTGGGCAGGAGCCAGTTTTATTAGTAACAGGAACTTCTAAAGCCTTAGTAACATTCTTGCATTCTCCTAATTGCAACATCTGGTGACCAAGATGCTGGCAATAGTAGGCATTTGTGTCTATCATCCTTCCCTCATTTCTCCTGCCTTCAGTTAGTGTGTTTGCAGTGAGTGAAGACTGAAGTTTGGTACTAGTCCATTAGCTGTTGTCCTTGTTTACAAATGAGTGAAAATACAGAGCTATTTCATTTTGAAACTCAGTACAGCCATGATAAGACTGTGTTTGACATTGTCAAGTGGCCTTCATGTGAAAATCATACCAGTACTGAGTCACAGACATTCACTTGCTGATTAGGTAAACTGCTGTTTGCTCAGTGATGGGATTTTTCCTCACCCCACCTTTGGCATAACTGATCAAAACAGTGATGGCTGACTTCTGAAGTAAGCAGTACTAGTGAGGTGGTACAGTTCATTTCTGCTGCAGTGAAGAAGACATGTAGCAGATAGCCCACACCCTGAAGAGCTAGGCAGGAGGTGGCCGTCAGGAGCAGCTGACTGTGCCACCTCTGCTCTTTTCTGGGACTCTGTTCCAGATTGGTCAGTGCTATGGGGGCATTTTGAGTGTTGGGGTTTTTATATTTGTTCTTCCCCTCTCCTCTTCCTCCCTCCTGAAGCTGGTTGCAAACGTAACTCATGGAGTCAGTGGCTGTGCAAAGTGAGTAGAGGCATCCAATCTAAGCTGTCAATTTCTTCTAAAATTAATTATTAAACAGCTTGTATTTTTAAGCTGAAAAAATACTACAGGTATAGAACACTATGGTTATTTTCCAGAAAGAGAATTTCTCCTATATTCCAGAAAAGGAAGCTCTCCTATTCTAATCCCATCAGGGATACTTCAGCCAAATGTATTCTCAGTGACAGTAGTGGATCACATTTTAGAACCCATGCTGTGCTAAGTGCCAAGCTAGGTGACCTACTGGTTCTTCCTGGCCTTTAAGATGAGGACTCTTCCAGTTTTTTGAAGATCATTTGAAAGGATAGTTCTGGAAGCCACTGTATTAGTGTATGCACAGGAGGTGCTGGTGACACAGCACTGACACAGGTCGGCTGGTCTGCACTGCAGGTCTGACCATGAAACTGGGTGGTGTGTCTTCAAGGGTCAGCCCTTTGCACTGCGACCGTGACTATACTTTTTTCTTGATAGTTTTGGATGCTTTTCTTGCTAGCAAACACAGAGCAGTGTGGCCTTGTGTTTAAATCTCCTTTCCGAGGGCATCTGTATATTTCACAACTTCCTTCCCATATTTTTTTTCTGAAATTAGAAGTTGCTTGTACAGGAATAAAAATAGATGCCTTACAGGAATAAAAATAGATGCCAATACAGGATAAAACCACTTAGAAAAACAAGGGGGTTAGGGGTATAATTTTTAAGGTCAGAACCTATTTTAAGATTTCTTCATCTCGCTTTTCATTACAGGTCTTTTGAGTTCTATCTGTAAGTTTTGAATAGGCTGGCAGCAGAAGTTCTCGGATCTGTAAGGGTCTATGAGTGGGTTGCCTTTTTGTTTGCATACTTGAACTATTTTTAAAACATTTTTCCTAAATGTGTTGTTATGCCACCACTTACTGTATTTTCTGCCATGGAATGCAAGCGATTTACTTTAGCAAGAAAAGAAGCAATTGTTACTTTTATTTACTAACTTTACTCCAAAGAATGCAAAATGTATTTTGATTTTCAGTCGAAATTAGGGAAGGGAGAAAGAAGAGTATATAAAAAATAGTGATTTACTAATTGGTAACATTGTCAAAGCATATTTTTTTGAAGCTCCATTGAATTGTTTCTTCTTATTTGTAGTGCATTCTTGTGCTATATATGGCTATAAGTATACAAAACGTATAAACAGGCTATATAAATATATATTTCAACATGGTGAACAATGATTTTTCTTATCTAGTAATATATAACTGACAGTTTCTATCAGTAATGTCTGAAGAATGATGTAAAATAAAAGACAAGTATGTGGCTGGAATATTGTTGCAGAAGACAAAATGGATTTTGATACTAGGTTCACAAGGTAGATTCTTGACCTTGTGGTATTTAATGATTTCCTTTACCCTAGTAGGATCTTTTTTATTATTCTTTTTATTTTATTTATTTTATTTTTAAATGTCTGCAGTTCCTTATGAAGTCAGACACTCTACTCACCAGCAAGATGGACCATCATCAGGGAATTACGGAGCCAAGCCTTCACTCACCTGCTCAACTCCAAATCGGGTAATGAGTTACATGTTTTTCTTTAGTAGTACTACTAATAAAACAACAGAGAAAGAAAAAAAGGGCAGAAAAATTCTCACATCAGAAGTAAGAAGTGTTCTTCATGGTGTTTTTAAAGTAGAGGCTGAAACATGCTTTTTTAGTATATGAAAAAGAAAATAAAAAGCCAATGGGGAAGGAGGAATTAAAATAAATAGTCCAATTAATTAAATTGCTGAAGCTAAGTAGAAGTAGTATCAAAGAGCATAGATAGGAAAACTATACTAAGAATCTTCAGTTAAAAAGTAAAAAAAAAAAAAGAAATTGGGTTATCCTAGCAGAAGTAAAAGTTTTCATTTAAAACCTATGAGGTTTCACAGAGATTCTTGTTTGATTTAGAATGTTGTCTGTAACACATGCACAGAATTTATGGCCTAATATTTTGTGTAGTGTTTTTTCACCCCAGTTAGTTAAATCACATTGCAAATAGAATAAATTATTTTCTGACAGTATTTTTGGTTTTATGAGATGCGTCTTATGTTTTCCTGCTTTTTGCAAGAGCAGATCTTTCCAATGTTCCTGCATACCTGCTGTGCATTTATTATGTGAACAGGTAGTTTACCCTAAGGATTAGCTTTTCCTAAATAAGTAAGACTCAGAGACTCTGTGCCTTTTCCCAAGTGCTTAGCACTCAACACCCATATTAAAATGTCACTTGAGCCTCAGGAAAAGATGTATAGGTAGTGTCGCGTAATTTGTGCTAACTTGAAAGGAAAGTGAGTGCATTTGTGTAGCGCTTTGAAATGAAAATTAGTTTAAGGCTTTATGATGTTGCCCGTTTCGGGGATCTTTTGATGTATTTCAGAACAAGTGTTTTGTGTTTGCTTCTTAGGAAGTGGACAGGTATGTCAGAGAAAGGGTTTCAGAGCTGGTTGGAGTCAGGCTATTGTTAATTCTTGTCCTTCCTCTTTAAAAGCATCGTCATCCAGGCCTTTATCTTGACTATTAAGTCATTACACTTTAACAAAGGTAGTAACTGTACCAGCAGCCCTCTTCTAGACATCACCACTCAACCTACCAAACATACAGACCTCCCTTAGACAATTCAATCAGAAAACAAAGACAAAAATGGACAAAATGTCCTTTTCATCCAAAATATTCTTCTTCCTGAAGTAGGATTTTTTTACCTAAACCTTAGGAAGTGACAGAGGGTTGAGGAGGTCTCAAGAGTTTTGCATGTCTCTCTGCCTTGGTGTAATGTGTTCTTGAGTTACTTGGGGCACATAGAAGTGGTGTAGCTCTGTAATAACTAAATGTATACTTTCTTTGAAAAGCTAAGTTGTCATGCACTGTGCTGCATAAATACAGCTTTAGGTCCTTTACTGTTTCCATCCATTTCAGGTGTACAGTGTGCATTTCAGTTTTGAAATGCATGGCAGCCAAAATGAACCCCTAAAATAAATCCAAAGGTAATAAATTTTGACATGGACTTTGCTTTTTTGCAGTCAGCAGTTTTAAGATTTCTTTTTTTCTTTTAGCTTGGGTCATGTAAGACTTTCTTTAATTGTCTGGGTAAACATGCCTAACATTAGCCTCAGCTTGACTGGAAAAGTAGTGAGACAGTAGTCTGTGTGGCTGTTTCTGCTTCACATCTTTTTAAAATGCGTATTTTAAATGTGAATCACTCCCTAACAGAACAGAGTGAGTGTGGTTTCTTGAGGTGCCCAGTGCTCTTCTACCCCACCACTGGTGGCTGGTACCAGTGTCCCTCCCTTCAGTCTCTTTCAGCAGAGCGGGAGCAACAGGACAGCAGCACCCATTATTCAGATGACCCTTGGAGGATAACGGAGGAGCAGCGAGACTACTATATCAACCAGTTCAGGTCCCTGCAGCCTGACCTGAACGCCTTTGTTTCAGGTAATTTCTACCAAACACCATGCATGTCAAACAGAGGGACCAGGCTGAGAAGTGAGAAGTATTAAGTAGATAAATTAATTATTTTTTTCTGTCTGGGGTGAGCTTATGAGAAAAAATTGGTTGTGCAGACAGCTCAAAGAGCAAACCAGTACTGTGGCTATTTTGTTTTTCTTAAATATCCTCATTTTAGAAAACATTGTATCTAAAGGAGAAGTGTTGGCAATTCAGCAGAAATTAAAAGTGAGCTCTCTGTATTTCATCCACTGTATTTGTGGATCACATCTGCAGTGTATACTGAGCTGAAAAACTTAGGGTATATATTGAGCTTAGGGTTGTGCTTGCTTTCCCAGCAGAAATGTGGCAGCGTTCATGGGATGAAAGTGAAGCATGTGGTTAACTGTCACATGTGGCCAAGCCTGAGTGTTTATGCCTCTGCAGACTGAGATTTTGATCTTCAGGTGATTAGAAGCAAATCCTGGATAGCACACACATGCTAAAAGTATTGTTAACAGCATGAGATTACCTTTCCATCCTGAATAGGAGGATCAGGGTGCTCATGAGAGTCACTGTGGGTATAGGCAGTACCTTTCATGCTTGGTTTGGTAAGGAAGACATCATAGTTTGTAAACAGAGGTGTTCTTACTGAGCCCTGCTGGATTACTAGGGTTCGGGAGGCTTGGATCCGGCTGAAAATTTAAATAACTTGCTGCTGACAGAAATTAGTGCTTCACCAGTTCTTTGCCTCAGTTAAGACTCTTTCATATAATCTTGAAAGAGAAAATGGTTGTCCAAGAACACTGTATTTCCTCAAAGACTTATTATATGTCTGGAACTGTGTATGCATGTATATATGCATATACAGGCTCTCAGGTAGTTGTGCGTTTTCCTTTATGTGGAGCAAGGTGCTCAGGCAGTCCTTGCCTATCTAAAATTACTGTTTATAAATGGTAAATTTAAGCTTCCACAGCATCCGAACATAACTAAGCTGTAGAAGTCCTTGCTACAGCATGTTATGGACACTAGAGGTTTGTTCAGGTTCCAGAAGTTATTTGAGAAATCTGTGATTGAAGAAATCTGTCATAAGTTACTGAATATTTAAGTGCTACCCCTGGTTGAGAAAGTTCCTGAATTGCACGTGGTCATAGGGTGGGGGATGTTCTGGAGGTACATTGTTATTACATGGTTTCTTCATGGTTACATACTCCTCTCTTGGTATCAGGTGTTGGAGAGGACATGGCTGTGCTAGGCAAATCTTGGACAGCTTTTCTTATGTACTGCAGTGGGTGATCTGTCCTGAATGCCCAAGGGGAAAAGGAGTATAGATCTGGAAGTCTGTGCTTCATGTTGCCTTATGTTTTGTAAGAGCCTGTATCCAGCTAGGGCTTCCCGATAACCCTGATAGCCTATGCATATGGGATGGTGAAGAAGCGACTGTGTTAGCTAGGAGAAGAATGAGAAGGACTGTTGTGGCAGGATGAATGAGAATGTCTGCAGCAGGACAGTAGCTCTGTGGTAGCTGAATCTCCTTCTTCCCCTTCCCCCAAAAATCTGAGCCTGAAGGGAAAAATCATGGTTAAAGCAGCGTCTTGGGAGAGCAGTGTAGGTGCTACAGGACTGTACTGCCACACACATGGCTTCTGAGTGAAGTAGAGTTGTTTGTGTCTGTTATTTCATCATTAGTGACATAGTAATTATGCTGGTTAGAATTGCTAGTACTAAAGCATGTTTTCCTTCCTTCAGTTTTTCCTATATGGAGGGATTGGGGAAATGAGGTCAACAGCTCTGTCTGGCTTTCTCTGTCACTTATTCAGCAAGAGACAAATGGTCCAACAGCCGTAGTAGCGTTCAGTTAATCTGAGTGTCTCTTGGATGTAAAGAGACCAGCTGCTTCTGGCGTGGCAGCTCTGGTCAAAGGTAAATAATTGGAGAACTAATTTTCAATGGTTGATAAGGCACGGTTTCCCAACAGGTTCTGTGGCAAAGAATTTCTTCACAAAATCAAAGCTGCCCATCCCAGAGCTTTCTCACATCTGGTAAGTACTGTAATAAGTGTTGGGGATGTGTATCCTTGTATTCCCCCCCCCTTTTTTTTTTCATAAAAGATGCTTAATTCAAGAGTTCTTGTTAAATTCTGAAAAGTGTCTTCAATTATGATTATTGCTCTTATCTCCAGAATCACTTTCAGGCCCAAGCAGCAGGGTGCTCATTGATCTTCCTGACACGCTTGTTTTCTGGGGAGATGTTCACCTACTCAGTGGGACTGGGAAGGTTTGAAGAGATATATAACTGAGAGCTGTTCTTAAGAAGCATCATTAGCTCCATGAAAGTGATGTTTTTTCATTAAATGACACAGAGGAGAAGCACCTCTGGAATGTTTTAGATGTGTTGTTGGTTTTATGTTTCTGGCTGTGTTTTGTCAGAGGAGGCCTAATTAATGCCTAATTTTTAGTAAGTACAGCTACATAATTCATCAGTGCTTTTCTAATGAACCAGTATACTTTTAATGAGCTTATTTAGAAATGATTGCAGATGGAACTGTACATGATAAAAATTGACAATAAACAACATGGTGCTTTGTAATTCAGTGTCATCCTTGCATCTCAGATAGGAAGAACAGTTTTAAACATTGATCAGAAATGGTGATAGAATTTATATATGCTTTTATAAAGAGAAATGAGAAAAAAGCTTGCAAGAGCTTAAACATCTGTTGGGGTCAAAGAATATGTCTGGAATCTTTTCAAAAGTTGTGAAAATAAAAAAAAATAAAAACCAAACAACTGAAGAAACATAGTGTTGGGGGAAGTGAATATTGGAATTTAAATTTAAAAATACTAAAGAAGAATGGCTTAACCCAATATGTTAACAAAACATGTTTTCTTTTTATTGCTGACACCAGTTGTTCTCTGTGCAAAATTTAAAGAAAAGTATTCCTTTTTAGTAGATAATTATAATTTTGTGATGTGATGTGTCAGGTCATGTTGCTGTGTTAAACACATGGGAGGTTTCAGTCTTCTTCACTATAACCTCAACAGCTTGAAAAAATCTCATTACTTTCAAAGAGTAGGAAGTTATGTGTTTATCTGCTTTAGTGAATTTATAAAATTGAATTCTTGCATTTATGAAGAGCGGTTTTAGTGCTTAAGAAGAATCCTAGAATTAGGACTGCTTTAGTGGGAAGTTAACAATAACATTTAAACTTGTGAAGATCATTAATTTAACTCTTTTCTTGAAGCTAGTCAGTGGTGCTAACTAACCATTGCTGAAGTCTGTAACCTTCTCTGCTTGAACTGGTTTAAGATCCTGCATGGATTGGTGAAAAGTGCTTTCAACCTTTGGAAAGTTAATTCACCCTTGGAAGTACAAGATACATATTTCATGTTCTAAAATATGCATATCATATTTTATGGTATGATATATAACAAAAAATTTACTTAATTAAAAAAGCAAAATGTGACAAGTCACTATAGAAACATATAATGGTTTGGGGTGGAAGGGCCTTCAAAGGTCATCTAGTCCGACTCCCCTCCAATGAGCAGGGACATCTTCAACTACATCAGGTTGCTCAGAACCACATCCGGCCTGGCCTTGAACACTACCAGGAATGGGGCAGCCACAGCTTCTCTGGGCAACCTGTGCCCGTATTTTACCACCCTCATTGTAAAGAATTTTTTCCTCACATCCAGCCTGAATGTCCCCTCTTTTATTTTAAAACCATTGCCCCTTGTCCTGTCATAACAGGCCCTGCTGAAAAGTCTCACCACATCTTTCTTATAGGCTTCTTTTAAAGGCCCCAATAAATTAACTTGCTTCATCTTCATGAGACAAAGTTAGAATGAAGTGCAAATGAGAGATGTTCATCTTGTATTAAAATATTCCTTCTCAAAGTTGCATTTCTGTCTCCCATGTGATTGCACACATACATTTCCCTGAGGTAATGGCTTGGAAAACATGTGTCTCTTGTATCCACAGGGAGCTGAGCGATGTGGATTGTGATGGGGCGCTGACACTCCCGGAGTTTTGTGCTGCTTTCCACCTTGTGGTTGCAAGGAAGAATGGTTACCAGCTGCCCAAGACACTGCCGGAAACACTGCTGCCAGAGTACCTCCAAGCAGGTAATGTCTCTGTGGGAGGTCATGTTCCTGCTGCCACCTTAGGAACCCAGTGTGCCTGTAAAACAGGTTTCATGTTCCATCCTGCAGGTAGGATGGCTCTCCAGGTGCTTTCTAATGCATATGTTTTTAATGTTGCTGTAAAAGTAATGTATAAAAGCAAAAAATAGCTATGCAAAGTGTAGCAGTTACCTGCTTCTTTATGTCTGCCTCTTCCCTCAAGTGTGCTTCAGGTGTCGTTATAGCTAAAATGGCAGATGATACCCATAGCAAAGATAATCCAGTGACTCTTCTGATGATTTTTTCCCTTAAGTATTTGTCTCTTGAAGATGTATTGAAAACGAGACTGGACTGCTTTAGAACTTAGTATGCCAATATATTTTGTTATATACAGTACTGGTTTATATCAAAGGTTGATTTTTTTTTTCTCTTGTAATTTATTTTATGTAATCCACAGATTCTTCTATAAGCAATTTACAGTAATGATGGGGGGATTACAACAATTTGTGTAGTACAGGGATGAATTAATCGGAAATATAACATACCTCGGTAAGAAAGTGCAGTAAGAGACCTGCCCCTTCATTTGTTCTCTTCAGTTATGTCTCTTTTAATTATAAATGAGCATTGAAATACATACTGTTCCATCTAAAAAATGTGCATGACTTTCTAGGGCAAGGAGGATTAATCACAGATGATAATTACAGTGCTAAGGGATAATATTTAAGACCTAATAAAATCTCCATTGAATTTGATGACTCTGAATATATTAAAAGACAGGAAAAGAGCTAATCAAGCTGCTGTTAGGAAAATTAAATGTTCACCCTGTATCAGATTTGTGAAGTAATTTCTGGTGGAGTCATGTTCCTTATAATTCACTATCTTCATACCCAAAGTGAGAAGCTCCTCTAAAACCTGCACTTCCAAGTCGTCTTCTCTTTTAGTCTCTCTAATTACATTCCCTTTTCATAATTACAGCTACCCTTTCCCTCCAGGACCACCACTTTGTTTGCTACTCTTGCGCCTCATGATAATGAGCTTGTAAGCAGGTTCTTGTAGTGTGTCTTCACATCAAGCCTTTTTGGGTAAAACCACAATGGAAATACTTATCTCTAGTTGTAGGGAATTGTAATGTCTATGGGAGGAAAAGCATGGCAAGCTGTGGTTGTTGCCTGGAGGAGTCCTCCATTTCCCTAATTTCCCCCTTTCAGCACTGGGGTCTTAACCGTTTCTTTTAGGTAATTGTTTCATGGTGTTGTACGCAACCAAGCATTTCAAGCTGATGTGTGTGGAAGAGATGAGAGGACTGGTTATTGTGGACACTTTAAATTCCTCAGCTAATATGCTAATTCTGGTCAGCTTGAGGATCTGAAAATGTCTTGTGCTTGTTCTTCTACCTAGTCAGGATTCAAAAATCTGTCATTTGAAAGACTCGCATTAATAAAAAGAACAGCATCCCAACACACTATGAATAGCATAGAGCCTGGTTGTATCAACCTCTGAAATTAAAGCAGTAGTAAGTAGGCAAGTACCTCATACATATGCCTAAAGTCCTGAAATGTCAAGAAACTGTTTTCATGTTTCCATAATAACCCCAATGAGGATTACTGAAAACTGCTTTTCATTAGGTTCATTAGGTATTAGTTTCAGAATGAGGCAAAATTTGGTTAAAGTGAAATATTTGCATCTGATAAGAGTACTAAAGCTTCAAATAAAGTGACTTGGAGCATAAAACAGAGCATTTAAGAATGATTTAATCTTGCTGTTTTATGGCTCGTTCTGTAAACTGCAAGCACAGGTTCCAGTGCTGTCCTGGCACAGCTCCATTAAAAATCTGACTCACTACCTCCTTTTCTGAAAGTTTTTATTTAAAACTAATTTAGAGAATCTGTAAAGCTATTTGTCCTGTATGTAACCCACTGTATTGTAAGTTAAGAAAGATTGCAAGAGCTTAATTTATGCAGGAAAATTAGATGCTAGTCAGAAACTAGAAATTTGATGTCCAAACTGATTATTCTGCCTTTCAGTATATTTCATGTTGAAGAGCTCAACATGACCTGGCAATGTGCAGTTGCAGCTCAGAAAGCCAAGCGTATGCTGAGCTGCATCAAAAAATGAGTGTGACCAGCAAATTCAGGGAGGTGATTCTCCCTCTCTGTTCTGCTTTCATGAGACCCTACCTGCAATACTGTGTTCAGCTCTGGGGTCCCCAACATAAGAGGGACATGGAGCTGTTGGAGCGAGTCCAGAGGAGGCCACAAAGATGATCGGAGGGCTGGAGCACTATGAAGACAGGCTGAGAGAGTTGGGGCTGTTCAGCCTGGAGAAGGCTCAAGGGGGACCTTAGAGAGCAGCCTTCCAGTACCTAAAGGGGGCCTATGATAGAGCTGGAGAGGGACGTTTCACAAGGGCCTGTAGAGGTAGGACAAGGGGGAATGGCTTTAACTAAAAGAAGGTGGATTTAGACCAGGTAATAGGAAGATGTTCTTCACTGTGGGGGTGGGGAGACACTGGAACAGGTTGATGAGAGAAGCTGTGGCTGCCCCATCCTTGGAAGTATCACAGTATCACAGTATGCTAGAGATTGGAAGGGACCTCAAAAGATCATCTAGTCCAATCCCCCTGCCGGAGCAGGAACACCTAGATAAGGTTACACAGGAATGTGTCCAGGCGGGTTTTGAATGTCTCCAGGGAAGGAGACTCCACAGCCTCCCTGGGCAGCCTGTTCCAGTGTTCCGTCACCCTCACTGAGAAGAAGTTTCTTCTCAAGTTTAAGTGGAACCTCTTGTGTTCCAGTTTGTACCCATTACCCCTTGTCCTATCATTGTTTGCCACTGAGTAGAGCCTGGCTCCATCCTCGTGACACTCCCCCTTTATATATTTATATACACTAATAAGGTCACCCCTCAGTCTCCTCTTAACTATAGAGACCCAGCTCCCTCAGTCTTTCCTCATAAGGGAGATGCTCCACTCCCTTAATCATCTTAGTTGCCCTGCACTGGACTCTCTCCAGCAGCTCCCTGTCCTTCTTGAACTGAGGGGCCCAGAACTGGACACAATATTCCAGATGCGGTCTCACCAGGGCAGAGTAGAGGGGAAGGAGGACCTCTCTCGACCTCCTAACTACCCCCCTTCTAATACACCCCAGGATGCCATTGGCCTTCTTGGCCACAAGGGCACAGTGTTGGCTCATGGTCATCCTGTCGTCCACTAGGACCCCCAAGTCCCTCTCCCCTACACTGCTCTCTAACAGGTCGTTCCCCAACCTATACTGGAACCTGGGGTTGTTCCTGCCCAGATGCAGGACTCTACACTTTCCTTTGTTATATTTCATCAAGTTATTCCCTGCCCAACTCTCCAGCCTGTCCAGGTCTCGCTGGATGGCAGCACAGCCTTCTGGCGTGTCAGAGGCCAAGGCTTCATGGGGCTTTGAGCAATGTGGTCTAGTGCAAGGTGTCCCTGTCTGTGGTGGGGGGCTTGGAACTAGATGATCTTTCGGGTCTCTTCCAGCTAGTGCAATAGAAGGGACGTTCTTGTGAATATTCCCATGAGAAGTTAGAGTTGATTTCCTCTCCCCCGTTTTTATTGTTTTTCCCCTCTTTTTAGTGTCATTCAGGTAAAGATGCTATATACTGCAGCATCTAGTGTTTGGTGTCTTTGGTTTTTGCTTCAATTTTAGTGTATAATGTAGATTCCACTATACTTTTCAGTATTTAGAATGTCAAAAAATTGGAGTAGAAGGTTTGGTGAGTGCCTTCAACATTCCTAGGACAACAAAGTATAAACTATGAGGCCAACTTACTTGATACTGGAATGTGAGGAGGAAAAATCCAAATAAATAGTTGTTGTTTGGCAGTAAATGTTTGCGAAGAATCACTTCTCCCAAATTTCACAATTATGTCTGCAACAGAAATACATGCTGACCCTTTCATGACATTGATTTACTCAAAATATAAGACAGATTTTCTTCATGGTGTTTGTCATCTGTGGTGTACAGGTCAGTAGTGATATGCAGAAATGAAGAGCAAATGGTGCTGGAACACATTTTTAAGAAGTGTGTATTAATCAGAGACTTGGCATATCTCTCCCCCCCCTCTTTTTCCTTCACTTGCAGCTTCTTTGAAGCCCATGTGTGACTGTGCACTATTTGATTCTTATTCTGAGCCATTGCCAGGCAGTCAGCAGACTCGGGACTTCAGTCGGTCAGAGGTAAGGAGGCCTGAGTAGAGCAGTTCTCTTGCAGGGCACAGAGGAATAGGCCAGCTTCACAGTGACTGTGGTATGGGTAGCAGCAGATCTGCGAGTCTCTGAGGGGATTTTAGGAGTCTCCAGGTTTCCCATTAAGCCATCTTGAACCCCTCTCAACAGTTTCTGAAGTGTGTGGAAAGGGCTGACACACTTTTTAAAAGATACTCCCACATAACAGAGTTTGCAGTAGTCATCAGGGGACTCCAGCCTTGCGTGATGTTGGAGCCTGCAGAGAAACGCACCGTACCTGCTCGTGTTCTGTGGGGCTGCCTTTGGTCCTCTGTCATTGGGAGCCAGTGGTGAGGGGCAGAGCCCACGCTGCTCGAGTAGTAGTGTGGCACAAGGATGGTGCACAGGTGAAATACCTCCTGAACTGGAATTGGTCCAAAATGTGAGGCTTCAGGCACAGACATTGTCCTAGTCAGGCACTCCTGACACTCGTAGCTCTTGAGTGTTTCTACCATTTACAGTGAATGCTCCATCTGCATACTTGCTCCCCCAGTTTTGGTGACGAGAAGAAAATGTCTTAGCTTGTCCTGATTCCTTGTACTTTGCTTTTTTGGAGGCTGAAACTATTCCGGATTTTGTACAGTATGGACAGGTATAGTTCTGTCCTAAGCAATTCAGTCTTCATTTTAATATCCAGCCTTTTCATAGTCTAAGGAGTTACCATGCAAGGGTCTAGGTAATAATTGTAAGGAGCTGGGAAGAGTGTTTTGAGGGAAGAATGTGGATCCACCATAGCAGTATCGTAACAGATACCATACTTATAATGGAAGGCTGTTGCAAGCAAAGCTATATTGAGAAGAGTTTATCACTGAGGTTAAAACTTGAAACTTCAAAGATCCTGTATAACTGAACTAAACATGGCCACTGAGTTGTACCTGGATGTTGCTGCTCTGTATATATACACTGTGGGATTTATGGGTTTAGTACTTAAGTTGATCAAATGGCAGACTGACTGCAAGAATGGGCCCTTCCAATGCTGCTTACAAGTTAAAAAGATATAATTTATAATTAAATTATATTAAAATAGATCTAAACATATAATTATGCATCTTTTTCCGAATGCTTATAAAGCTTCAGTTTGTGTAACTTCTTGAGTTCAGAATCTGCTGCAGTATCTCTGTGGCCTAGGGAGCTTTTGTTTTTTTTTGTTTTTTTTTTTTTGTTAGGATACTGCTTTCACAAGTGTCTACCCATATATGCAAATTGGTCTTTGACTATTGCAGAGTTGTGAGGAAATTTGCTCCTTATTAGCGCAGGACTGCGAGATTAGAAAGTTCTTTTATATATTTCAGAAGGCTTAGAAATCTTGCTTTCAGAGTTACCTTGTGTTTCTTAGAAATAAAATATCATTTCAGTAACCTAACCAGTACAATTTTATAATCTTATTAAATGTCTGGTTTTTAGGCTTGCTGTTGTTTGTGGTCCCTAAATGTATGTGCAGAGTAAGGATAAATCTAGAAGGAGATGATTTCCTGAGAAATGAAATCGTATGGTTTTTTGATTTTTAAATTTTTCTGCTGCAGTGGAGATGATAATAGTAGGAATATTACAGTAATAATTAAAGATGTAGAAGGTATACAGCACAAAATGTAAAAAAAACCAAACAAGCAACAAATCCCATTTTATGTTTAATTTTTAATTCAATTTTCAATAGTTAAGCTTTCAGACCTCCTCTGCCTTATCCCTGAGCTCTCCTCCTGAGACATTCTTACCATAAGTGCCAATAATTTGTAGATTACTATGCTGCCTTTGCAGTCAGATAATGTTCTTGGGGGAATAGCTGGATTTTCTGTTCCATTCCTAGGTTCTGCAGGGTGGCAGGATGTTCTGCAAAATCAGTTTTTTGTGGCTAGGTTGAAAATGAAGAACATGTAGTATGATTGCCTGCTGGCTAAGCACAGACAGTAGTTCCTGTCTATCTCACAACTGTTTGACTAGGTTTGTTCCATTTCTTCACTATCTGGGCCCTAGAAATATAGGACAAAGTTCTTTGTTTCAAGGCCTTGTTATTTTGCTCCTTGTTATCCAAGATTAATGGACTAGAAGATCTTTTCTCAAAACTGTTTTGAGAATGACTCGACTTAAATTTTTTTGTTTTGTTCAACTGATATTTTTATGTTCAGAATTAATACATGGAATGAGTATCATTTAGCAGATCAACAATTCATCTCCCTCTGTGTTAAGTGCAGTAATTCACTGCTGGAATTTAATTTGTAGCCTGGCTATTTGGAGAAATATAGTTTAGATACTTGATCACTACATTAAAAAAATATATTATCAATGCAATCAGTTATCCATTATCTCCATGTTTCTTTTCACCTATCATCTATTCAGGCTGTTTCATTTCATTTCAGAAGACCATTTTTACTGTGACTGCTTCACTACGGTTCTGCAGTACAGTAAGAACAGTTGTTGAATGCATCCATAAAGAAAATAATAGCAGGAGACGGGCCACCTGAACGCTAGGCTTCGTTAAACTCACAAAACACGCAAAGACTGCTGATGTTATGCTCAGGAATGACAAGGGTGACTGCATTTTCTTGACCAAGGAGGCTTTGTTGTCCCATTGGTTTTTTTCTCAAGTTTTTGTCTCCCACTCTAGTTCTGGTCCTCTTTTTCTTTTCTTTTTTTTACCCTCCATTCCTTTGGCTCTTTTCCACAAGCTTCCTCACTGCCAAAAGCTTAAAGATAAAACACAGTATTTCACACTATATGCATATAACAACTGGCTGGGGTTGCTCTAAGCTCCCTCAGAAACGTCATGTTCACAGTTCACTGAAAGTTGTGAAAGTCATTCTGTTGATTCAAGCATTTACTGAATTAGGCCTTTAGTCTGACACTCTTTAGAGTGTCAGGGCTAGTTGTGGATGTGAACTGTTTTGTCCATACATTTTCAGAGTCCTCAAGCCGTATTTTTGCTGTGTTGCTTCCTCAGAAACATGCAACTTCATAAAACAGATCTCATAGATGTTTACTCTGGACTTCACCTTCTTGAATTACTGACTTGAGGTTTTTTTTGTTTGGTTGGTTTTGTTTTTTTTTTTTTTTTATTTTTTTTTTTTTGTTTAATGTCTACAAAATCTGTTTCTCAATTTTTTTAGGCCCAACCTCTTCCCTGGGAACAAAACCAGCATCATTTAATATTTAGAGAAGCTTGAGGTTTATGATGTTTGCTTTATGGCTGTTTTGGTTGCAGAGTGTATCCTTGTTCTTAGAGGTAATGGACGTAGAATTTGTTCCTGGTTCCATTTTGCGAGTTAGGCAGCAGAAGTTACAAGAACAACAAATGCCTATAAGTCTACTGAAATAAAGAAAAATTACGGAATAAGACTGGGGAGAAGTTCCCCATTTTCCTATCAGAGGCCTGAATGGGCCTTCAGCAGACATGCTAATGAATTTTTTTTTCCCCACCTCAATGACTGCATGTTGAAAGAAAAGAGTAGTTGAAGGATTGGCCACCTCAGCCTGGAAGGCATTAAATGCAGAACTACTGGGTTCTGGAGTTTTGTCTAGGGAGACTGGATTTTGGGAAGGGGCTAGAGAAGGTTTCCTCAACCCTAACATGGATGTGACATCTGAGGAGAAAACACAGAATGACATTTCTCTTTTGGGAGAAGTTTCTCCTTGCATATAGTCCTTAACTCCTTGTAATTCATTGTGGAAGTGCTTCGCTAACTAATTTCAGGTATGGAACTGCTGTACTTTAAAAAGCAAAGTTATATTGTCTTTCTGTAGGTTCTCTATGCTTCTTCAATGTGACAAAGCAAATCATGGTGCAAAAGAGATTATCACCTTTATTTGTGTTAGCCTGTACTCATAAATATTTGACTGTGGAAATGTGTGAGCTCTACCAGTCAGTATAATAAACAGATCTTCTTTCTTTAAGAAGACATCAGCTGAAGAGGTACCTGATAACTCTGCCCTGTTACAAGATGGAAAGAAAGATGACAAAGAAGGTATTTTAATAAATATATTTTTTCCCCATTAAGAGTTAAATTCTGTGTGTTTTTAGTAATCCCATATATTTGCTGATAGAAGCAATGGTATGTTTAATTTCTAACATGGCTATGTGTTTCTGTAGGTTAAAGAGACAACTTATTGGTAGCAGCTGAGTTGAAGATGAATGAATGGGTTTGCTTCAAAATTGGTTTTATCATATAACAATGATATGAAATGCACCTTCTAAAATAAGTCTAGTCTGAAGGCAATTAATGCTGCAATTTTTATTTTAACACAGTTGTAATTGTTGTTATCAGGAATTTTGTAAGAGTTCCAAACAGTGTGCCAAGTCTTGGATTCCCCCTTCTGCAGGAAATAGCGACACCTAAAAATTAGTTTTTATTCCTATTAAAAAAAAAACACCAAACACAAACCAACAAAAGAAAAAACCCAAACCTAACAAAACCCCCCAAACAAACAAAAACCCACAGAAAAAAAAAACAACAAACCAACCAACCAACCAAAAAAAAAAACCAAACCCAAAACCAAAAAAAAACCAAACCCCACCAACCTGTATTTTCTTTCAAAACAAAAGTTTTGGACAAACTGGATTGAATATACTTGATTAATTTAATTCACTTAAAATCCATCAGCAACAAGCCATGTGAAATTGAAGTGATCTGTTCAACTCAGTAGCTTCCAGGGCTTACAGAATTGTCAGTGGATCATCATGCAATGAATTCATTCCCATTTACATTTTCTTTAGCTAACGTTTCAGGTTCTCACTTGCTGTCCCTCAGTTGTGCAAACAAAACAGTTGTGGGTATTTTGTTGCCTGATTCTCAGAACTGTAGATTATACATTAAATTTAAAAAAAAAAATAAATAAAATTTTGACCTCCCAGTTGTCCACATGTTAAGTTTGCATCCAAGCTGTGAGACCAGGTAGTCCACATTCCTAAACCACCTCCACATTCAAGTGTGACAATGTTTGTCAGAGTCCCAGTGTCCCTGGTTCAAAGAAGGGTTGTCAGAGTTGATGGGTGTTTGTAAAACATTTTGACAAGTCAAGGTATTTCAAGAAAGTAATGAGTCTAGGGAAGGCTTACTTTTTATTATGGGAAATTTTTTTCTTCCCTGTTTAGGTGAAGAACTTCTTTGTTTTTCATAGCCGACATGTTAAGTCAGATGAGAACCTGTTTTGGTACATGCAGTCCTTCAGGGCTGAAGATTTGCTGTATCTGTGACACAGATTCCTACCTTTCCAGGCAAAGAACAAGTACTCTTGTTATACCATTTATTGCTATTCTGACAAATGTAAGAGCAGACTGCTCCCCTGACTGAGGAAATGTCCCCAGAAGCCAAGAACCTGTAGAGTGAAGTCTTCTGCATTTTCAAAACTGTACATGTCAATTAGCTCCACTGTCAGGTTATAATACAGTTAAATGTGGAAGATAATGTAAATAGAATTGCATCACAAGAACCAGACTTTTCCCATGTGTTTTATTTGATAAAGGCAGATGGAGATGAGGGACTTCAGTCCAAGTGGTCATTTATAATACTGTGGATTACAATACATAAAAATACGCTATAGTGAATTAAGGACACCTGAGTAAAGTAATTAAAAAAGTGTGTGTTAGGCATCAGAGGAAGGGGAATAAGCACAAAGATTGGGATTTCCTAAATTTTGACCCCAGCTCTCTTGGTGCCCTGTGAGATTCCTGGCTGGTGAGTTGCCAAGAACAGCCGGTCCTTCCCATGCCTTGGCTTTCCAGGTTTGTAACCTGGGAGAGATGAGTCCCAGCTCTACCAAGTGTCCCCAGCTTCTGCCTCTGTGAGAGTGTTCCATCTCGAAAATAGAAATCATCCTTGATTTTAGGCACTCAAACCCCCAAATTCTCAAAATTTGAGATTATTTGAACACTTTGGCATAGGCCTTTCTGTTCCTGACTTTTGTATGCTTAAAATTGTTACTTTTTTAAGTGCTTGGGTGTTCTGAAGGTATTTGGCTACTTTTCAAGTATGTTTGGTGCTATTAGATGTTCTAATACTGGTTTAGATGCTCCTTTCTCTGAGATGATACCTGTAGATTTTACCTGCACATACTTAAAGTAATTCTCATTGTTTTGCTTTTTTCATTAAGCTCTTAAAGTCAACACTGCTCTCAAAACCATACCAAAGGAATTTCAGCACTTGACTGTGAAAACAGGTAAGAACAAAAAGATTTCATGTGTTACTTCCATTAGAATTTTGATAAAATATTTTTATATCACAGCCTAAATTAGTGTAATTTGATTCATTTTATTAAGGTATTTTTGCTTTTATACTATTTTACTGCTGAAATTAGCTTCTACTTCAGAATGACTACTACGTGCAAGATAAATATTGAATACTACTTCAGAATGTCAGGCTTTCTTGTTTCCTTTGTGTTCTTCATATATGGGAAATATTTATAACGTAGTATTTTTTAAGGAGTCTGAAGCTTTTCTGTGCTACAAAGAATATGCAAGAGCATGAATGTCATACTTGGTAAGACTTCTAAAGTGCAGAATAACTATGCAGTGTTTCAATAACCATTCTGAGATGGTCTGTTTTTTTTTGTGAGAACTGAGCATTCATATTTTCTGTCAAGAAGTTTAAGGGTAACACCGACATTGAGGCATTTACAGCACTGATGCAGGCTTTTGATTTGGAGGGGATGTTTCTATGTTGAAACTGTCCCCGATTTTTCTTTCTCCAACTCCAGCATACACTCCTTGTTCCTATCGTACTGTAAAATGTTATTTCTGGAACAGCATATGACAGAATTACTTAGCTGCTCCAGAAACTTTGAGTGCGTTCAGTTCAGTTCATCAGACCTCCCTTGCCTTTGTCATTGTTAATCTCTCTTAGAGTGGTAAGAGTGTTCACAAGCCCTCCCTGCTCCCAGTCAAGCTAAAATCTGGACTTGCTTTCTTTTTCCTTTGCATAAATGTTTTTACTTGTAAAGATATCCTTGATGAAGGAAACTGACCCCACATGCCTCTCACAGCAGTTTTGTCTTATAGTTCAATTTCTTCATGACTGCTCCACAGCTGCATGCCTCATTTCCCAACTCTTTTTTTTTTTTCCCTGGCTTCTTCCCAAACACTTGGCAGTTGCCAGATTTGTTATCTTCAGCTCCTATTCTCAAATGATTGCTGCTTCTCCTTCACACACACACTCTTACACTTCCTTCTCAGGAGGAGAGGAGGGTGGTTGTTAAGACTTTCAGTTCTGTTCTCCTTCCCCCCACAGTTGTACCCAGAGCACCCTGGGGAGTTTTATTTTCAGTTCAGCAGTTCCATTTTAGATTCACTTAAGGAAAAAAACCCCAAACCGTACTATTACCAGAACATCTCCTTTGCCACCAACTTCTTTTCCCCATGTCCTTTATTTCCTAGTCAGGGAGGTCATCCCAATGCTTGTGTGCTCCTCCAGCAGTGTTGCTGTGTTTCTGTACCAATGGAGATGGTGGCAGAGTTTCACCCCATCGTCATGACTTCCATCACTGTACGGGTTTCGCCGTTGGTGTCCTGCATATTGAGGGTTTGAGCAAGCACATTCACAGGCTACGTGATGCAGTTGATGTTAGGAGTAAAAATGGTTATTCATCCGATGGGCCTGACACAGCACAGTAATTGAGGGGCTATTTCAGAATTGGTCACCATTCTGAAAGGTCATTGTTGTCATCATCATTGTCATCATTCACCCACTTTCAGGATAAAACTCAGTTGGGATGAAGCAGGAGAAATTTTACATCCTCCTTTGGTTATTCATTTGGACTGTTTATATAAATGATGTAATTTATGCAAAGATGATACTGTCATGCTTCATTATGAGAGTTTTCTTTGCCATCTGGAGGACTAGAAGTTTGAAATCAGTAAAACCTTTGTATGCTCAGCATCTCCAAATATCTGGCCAGTTTATTTAGGCTCCTAAGTGCAAGATCGTTGTTGGCCTTATACTATTAAAGGGTTGAGTTCCAAATTTACAAGAGTTTAGGTTGTAGCTTTCTGCCTAGGCCACCACTAAGAGTTGAGTCAGTGGAGGGGATTCAGACTAGTGAGGAATTCTTTGGGATTTTTTTTTTTCTTAGCCATGTGGCATATTTGTACTTTTTATGGTAAGATTTTCCACCAGATCTTCAGCCTGTAAAGCAAGGTGGCACCAGCTGAGTGTAACGTATTAGGCTACAGATGAAAGTACTGAATAAGCATCCTTTGGAATGTTAAAATGAAGTTGCATTGGAAGAGGGGTGTGGGAGCAGTTAAACACCCAAAACTGGAAACTTCACACTCTCCTGTGATTCACACTCTTCTGTGAATAAATAAATAAGAGTTCATGATCATCTATGCCTTTAATTATAGCAGACCAAGCTGTTCATTTCATCAGGCTCTACAATTCCAGGAATCTTACAAACTTCTAAGTAATGCAATTAATTTTCTCAACAGCTTTAACTTTTTATCAGTTCCATGTAAGTTAGGCTTATGTATCCATAGCTGTTTGTCCTGGGTTCAGCAGTAGCAGTCATTTTTCCCCTTCTTGGTAGCTGGTGCAGTGCAGTGTTTTGACTTTCAGCTTGGGAACAGAGCTGATAGTGATGTTTAGGTTTGGCCAAGGACTTTGTGAGCCTCATGCTCTGCCAGGGAGGAGGGGAAGCCAGGAGGAAGTAGAGACAGGACAGCTGACCCAAACTGACCAAAGAGGTATTCCATACCACAGCACGTCATGCCCAGGATGTAACTGGGAGTTAGCCGGAAGGGCTGGGGGACTGCAGGGTTGGAGGAGGTATCGGTCAGAGCTTGGTCGGGCTGGGGGGGCGAGTTATCGGTCGGCTGGTGCTGAGGTGTTGTATTCTCTTCCCTTGTTATTTCCTGTATCATTATTATCATTGGTGGTAGCAGTAGTGATCTGTGTTATACCTTAGTTACTAAACTGTTCTTATCTCAACCCGTGGGAGTTGCATTCTTTTCGATTCTCCTCTCCGTCCCTCCGAGAGCAGGGGGAGGGCAAGAAAAGGGGGGGAAGTGAGCGAACGAATTGCCTGACTGGGTTTAAACCACGACAGTTCTTTTTGGCGCCCAACGTGGGGCACGAAGGGTTGAGATAACGACAGATTTGACTGGATTAATAGTCACTCGTCACAATGCTGATTTATTGGCTCTCAGAGTTCTTTCGCTTGATCTCACAGCTTCAGAATGTTGTAACTTACGTAGAGCCGGTATTTGCTGTGTTAGTGTTTATCAAGTATGGGGCCTGGGCTAAGGTTCTTGTCTCACTGTGCTTTATGGCAATGGCTTGTAATACGGGCGGGCTCCAGCAGCAGGGCGGGACGGACGTGACCGTGGACTTGTACGTGGCCGTCCGGCTGCTCTTCACCGTCCTGGCCCTCGCCCTACTCTCCATCTTCGTGAGGCTGCGGGGAGCCGAGGGGGAGCGGCCCCGGGAGCCGGCGGCTGCTGAAGCGGCCCGGGAGAGCGGCCCCGGGGACCAAGCGGCGGCGGGAGCGGGGCCGGAGGCCGCGAGGGGACGGCTGCCGGTGGAGGAGGTCGGGGCGGTCGAGGAGAGGAAGGAGGTGGCTGCCGAGCAGCGGGAGAAGGCGGCGGAGGAGCCGAGCCCCGCGGAGGAGCCGAGCCCCGCGGAGGAGCCCAGCCCCGCGGCCGAGCCCAGCCCCGCGACGGCCGAGAGCATTTCCCGGAAGCCGCCCGCCGAGCCCCAGGAGGATGCAGGAGACCACGCAGCATTTCCCAGCAAGGCAGAGGAGGAAGAGCTGGACTCAGGAAAAGAGAAGCTGGCGGTGGGAGAGCCGGCAAGCACAGCAGCTACACCAGCCCCAGTGACAAGTACAGCAGCATCAACTGAGAGTTCTGAAGGTTTTGAATGGCCTTTCGGTATCCCTGGGACATGCCTGCTGATTGTGGTGGGGATCAGCATGTTGGCACGCACACAGACTGTGTTCTACCCACAACCATTTTGTCTGATCTCAAAAGTTAAGCAGAGTCAGGTTTGGGCCTTGTCTGGGGTTAGACAACGATATAGGGTGACCAAGAGATTTTCCCCAAAGCTGGACAGTCATGAGTGGCAGGGTGTGTGGGACAGTATGGGCAAGTATCTAGTCCACTGGGCCCCTCCAGTGCTTTGGAAGCATCGGAGATGGAAGGCAGCTGTATGGAGTCCCCAGCAACAAGTTGCAGAAACTGCTGAAGGGGACAGTGAATTATTTTGAGCCTGGTGGGCCCAATGCACTTCAGGCCATCAGAGCAGAGATGCAACACAGAGATGGACTCATGATCGAGGGGTGGACTTAGCAATGGACACTATTGCCCAGGTTATTCACGAGTGTGAACACTGCACACAGTCTCTCCTGCTCTGGAAGACTGTTACAAGAGATGGAGCCTGACATCATGGACCAGATGGACTCAGCAGCTTTATAGGGATATAGCTTTATAGTCCATGCACTTAGATAAGAGTGGAGTGATGGGTGTATTGAAAATGTGGGATCTGAGCATGACGTGAATGGTATGGAATAAGGGGTGGATAATGTCCTGGGTTCAGCAGTAGCAGTCATTTTTCCCCTTCTTGGTAGCTGGTGCAGTGCAGTGTTTTGACTTTCAGCTTGGGAACAGAGCTGATAGTGATGTTTAGGTTTGGCCAAGGACTTTGTGAGCCTCATGCTCTGCCAGGGAGGAGGGGAAGCCAGGAGGAAGTAGAGACAGGACAGCTGACCCAAACTGACCAAAGAGGTATTCCATACCACAGCACGTCATGCCCAGGATGTAACTGGGAGTTAGCCGGAAGGGCTGGGGGACTGCAGGGTTGGAGGAGGTATCGGTCAGAGCTTGGTCGGGCTGGGGGGGCGAGTTATCGGTCGGCTGGTGCTGAGGTGTTGTATTCTCTTCCCTTGTTATTTCCTGTATCATTATTATCATTGGTGGTAGCAGTAGTGATCTGTGTTATACCTTAGTTACTAAACTGTTCTTATCTCAACCCGTGGGAGTTGCATTCTTTTCGATTCTCCTCTCCGTCCCTCCGAGAGCAGGGGGAGGGCAAGAAAAGGGGGGGAAGTGAGCGAACGAATTGCCTGACTGGGTTTAAACCACGACACTGTTGAAATATGGAAGACTCATGAGCTGAATAGTTTTGTATCATCTTGAATGATTATGTCGTGTATGTGAATAAACCAAACACAAAGTCCGCACAGACTGAGTGTACCGAAGTAACTGCACGTTTATGGAAATTCTGCCAAGGTGATTTGCATGTCCTAATAATGAGCTACCTGCTTTACAGTATTTTTTTATAGTATATTGAAAGGTAAAGCTGAGTCTGGGTGTTGCTTATTGTAGCCTTGGAGATCCTGATTTTTCAAAAGCTTAAAAGAAAATCCTTGGCAGTAGTATTCTATTGCTATCATTTTTTATTAGTAGTCATTTTGGGATTCTCTTTTCTTTGTGTGCTTTCCTGTTTACCTCGACAAGATGTCCTTGAAGAGTTAGAATGTCAGTTCTACCAGGAGGTTTTTAGAGGAAAGGCTTTCTGAAAGAAGTATGAAGAGAATTACTGTCTCCATAAAAGAAGGAAAACTTGAAGGCTCTTAAACATTGCTTAGCTTGTAAAGGATTTATGCTTCCTATTTCTAAGTGGTATATATTCAATAATTGTGCATGTAATTAAATAATCAGCAATTTCAGCATTGGAGAAATTGGGTCATATGGCTGTAGGGAAGCGGTGTCTAAAGTTGTATTCTGGGAGTTTGATAGAGAGGAGGATTATCACCACTGCGTATTTTAATAATAATTCCCTCTCTGTGCTTTAGTTGCCAGGAAGAGTTTGTTGCACAGACATCTGGAATGACTGCGCGCCAGTTTGGTGGTGACAGTAATCTACTAGAACTTGGTTTATAAGTGGTCCTTTATGTCACTGCCAGCTGCATTTGGGTTTATTCCATCGAAAGCACCAACTAGCAGTGCGTGACCTTAAAAGCGGTTTCTGTTATGAAGAAACTCTGTGGCTGTACATGTGCCATATGCTGCTGCTTGTCTTCTGTGAGCTTAAAGCCTCCTGTGGAGGGTCTATGCAGTAGTACAATGCAAGCTATTAAAAAGTCAGTATTTGCCAGAGGCTACCACAGGTAGCTTCTGCTTCGTGTTTTGAAGGATATGCCGTATTTCAGGTAGTGCTGTATAGTAGCTGGTGATAAACATCTGACTTGGAAGTAGGCATATATCTGAAGGAAGCTAGAAAATCTGAGAATTATGGTTTGGTTGGTTGGTTGGTTTGTTTTTTTTTTCTCCAACCTACTTGGTTCTCTTTAAGTGTTGTAGCTTAATTGGGAGAATAATAAGAAAAGTACAGGGATTCACTTTGTACGTGCATTGGGATCATTGGTACTACTGTAGTACTTTGAGGATACTGCAGTGGGCTGAATGTGAAAGCAATCGCAGATACGTTTTCTCAAAATGATCTGATGTTAGCAAAAGTCACAAAAAGACAATGTAAACCAAGGAACAGCCTCAAGGAATTACCCAGAGAAGATAATCAGCACTGTCATTTTCCTATTATGTGAAACCTGTGTGTGGCAGCATGTTTGGAATTCATCCACATAAAAGAAACTGATTTTTACATTGATAGAAATGTGGTTTATCAACACTTAGCCTGTAAAGCTTTCTACCTTCAAGTATCTTTCCTTCCAAACATCAAAGTAGTCTCAACCTGATGTGTTAATTTATTTTTATGGATGGTAAGATGCATGTTTATACTAAAGTATTTAGGAAGAGCATAAAACTTCGTGCTTTGGGAAGCAGAACAACTGATAGACATCTAGCTAGGAGTAAGATGTTTTCTGTGGAAAGTTTATGCTATTCCTTATGTTGCTTTGCCACAACTATGTCCAGGAGCACAGGTCAGCTGTCCTATTGCTTTACCTGTGTCTGGTAACCAAATTAAAAAGTGAAGCTCTGACCACATGTGGGCTTTTGAATTCTTAGGACATCCACACACTATAAAAATAAAGGGGAAGGAGAAGAAAAAATTGCTCATGTGAGATGAGCACACTCTCACATCCACATTTGCAACACTCTCATTTTTAACAAACACTGATTCTGCAGCTAAAAGGTTTTATTTTAAATATGATGTTTGAGTGATTCTCTTTTCTGTTCCAGCCACTCAGGAATCTAATGCACTTAAAGCCAGACCACGATCCAGGTACTGCTTTCATTTCTATTTCAGGACAAAACATACGTTCCTCTGGTGTTAGATAGAAGGCATAAGAACTGGTGTCACATTTTTGACCTTTTTTTTTTTAATTGGTGGCATGCTGAAAGTACAGCTCAGACGAGTCAGGTTTACCAGGAGGGGTCTGTAACTACAGACCCTACGTAAGTACTGTCCTTGGGCCCTGTGGTCTCTGGTCATAAGGCACTAGGGCGTTTGCCTCTCTGCCCAGCCCTGCTGCCTTGTCAGGGTGGTGACTGCCTCCAGCCTACCCCCAGGGGCACTGGGGAGGGGCAGTGGGGATCCCCCCATCACTGGGAACGTTTTAGCAAGTTTGTGCTGTGAAACCTACACAGTGGTTGCATATGGAGGGAGACACTGCATGCTCCCATAGAAACAGCAATAGTAGCTCAGCTCTTGGATGTGGGTGAGTGAATCCTTTCATTGGTGTGCATGTACTTGACTATGGCTAGTTGGTGCGTGATGGAAAGGCTAATAAGCTTACAGTGTTGCGTGCTAGAAATGATGTATGCTGAAGCTGGATATTTAAAGTAAAGGGAAACCTGTGCCAGAAAATACTTTGTATAAATGGATGATGTGTTGGGTTTGGAGTTCACCATTCCCGTATGCAGCCATATGGTTCCTTTAAAACTTTTGGTTTAGGTGCTAATTAGAGGGTTTCATTTTTTATTCTTTTGTTTCCTCAGTTAATGAGAGTATAATCAGGAGCTCCCTCCTTACAAAGCTTGCTAATAAGACAGAATCAGCTATAAGCATGATGGAGGAAGACTGAAATGCTCTCTTCTTAGGACCTACATCCAGGCAGGCTGAACTGCCTTGTGTGCCATTTTTCTCTTGCTAGCCAAAGCTTTCTAGTTTTCATACTATTCTAAATTTCCTTGCTGTGTTAGAGAATCATAAATTGAAAATGTGAAAAAAAGGCTTAAAAAAGTATTTTATGCAAAAACATATAAAATAGCAAATGCTTAAACAAGTTGGAAAACAGTCACTTGAATGTGACTACTGTATCATATCTGTCTCACATCTGACTATGTGTCACTGCTTCAATGCAGAACTTGAGACTAAAGGTTCCTGGGCACATCTTTGAACCCAGACCTTCTGCTGCACTTGTCCTGCATAACCTGGAGGGCTCTATAGACTTGAGGGTCTCTGTCTTCAGGTGTGCCTGATGACCAGAAGATACAATTTGAGTCTGTTACAACTCTCAGCTCTGGAGAGATTAATGGCTTTCTAGCCTAGGCTGTGTAGATTCTTAGGCTGTTGACTCTTAACTAACTTCTAGATGCCAAGTCTGCCTGCTGCAAGCAACGATTCACTGTCACAGGGCTCTGTGTTGGCACTGTTGGGTTGGCATATTTTTGCCTGATAGCTGCTATCTTACTTAATCTTTTAAAAGAATTTAAGGATTTCAAACTATTAAGTTGCACAATTTTAATGCAAAGAAAATACACGCTGCATGATATGGGAAGTAGGAGTATAAAACCTTAAGATCCTGATTGAAAGCTTTTCCATTTATTTCAGGGCGTTTAGTTAGGTTTGATCTGATAAGGCCAAGACAAAAAATTCATCATCAGTAGAGGTTTTTGTGTTGCATGTAAAATTTGAAGCAATAACGTCTTTCACTCCTGTATTTATTAAAGTTTATATCAGAAACATAGGAAGAGCGTTGCCAAATGTCTGTCCTGCTGAAGAGCTGTTTTTTAACAACAAAAATCAGTTTCCCATTAGTGAGAGTTATTTCTGTTCTACTCGAATGTGTTTTTGGTCTTGCCTGGCATGTGTAATGTGTTATAGTAAGTGTAACATCTCACATTGTCAGTGATCATTTTGAACACAGCTCTCAGTCTCGCAGAAAAAATGGTAACTACAACAGCTGAAAAATATCGGACACTGTTCAGCAAAATCAAAATTCTTAGCAAACATACTGCATTGGGATTGATGTGATGTGGGAAGGCCTGGAAAGACATACTGAGTCATGTATTTTATCAGTTTTGGTCACTTTGGCGCCATTTGGTTTTTCTGGATTTTGTGGAGTTTGGTGTCTTAGGAAAAATTTATTTTAAATATTAGAATATTGTAAATGACAAAATGCGCACTTGCAAGAGGTATGCTGAAAGTATACATGTAGAAACACTATCCATACAGTTGGGAAAGGCAGCAGAAACTCTAAGTGGCAGGGGGAATTTTACTCATTTTTATTCAAAGCAGTTGCTACAGTTGTCCTGTTGACAGTTCAAGGTGGGTAAGAAAGTCTGAAGCTGTGACATAAAAGGCCTTAAAATAACATTAGCCCTGTTAGCATGACTCGTTCCATTCTCCAGATGTGTAGGTCCCTCTGTTGCCAAATTACAAGTGTCTTAGTACAAGTGGGAGCTTCTAGTCATTATGGCAAGGAATTGCCACCATGAACCTGAGTTCTGCTCACTGCATTTTTAGGTACTATTCACTGTAGTTGTTTAAAATTAATTTCTGAAATAAAATAATTTTCTGCCTTTCACGCCCTCTGTTTTTCCTTAGGTCTTACTCTAGTACATCAATAGAAGATGCAATGAAAAAGGGAGAAGAACCCCCTATTCCACCTCCAAGGCCACAGAAATCACATTCCAGAGCTTCCTCTTTGGATCTGAACAAAATATTTCAACAAAACACACAAGGTAATGTTTGCTTTCTTTCCCCATTTTGAGACCATTTAGGTAGTTACGTACTTGGCAACTTGATCTGTTTGCACAAATGCTTGACAGTATGCGTGTATGCTCGCCTTTGCTGTAGACATTAATATGCTACAGAACAGAAGTAGTTGCACTTTCTTGCATTACATTGCCACTGAGGGGAAAAAAAATCACTTTTGCTATAATTAAGGTGATTATAATGTTTTCTGGCACAATAATGGGAAGTTTAACATATGGTGGTCTGTCATCACTGACTGTTTATATCTAGTCTAGCTGTTTAGACAACTCTCATCAGTAACTACAATATATTTGATTTTTATTACCTTTTTTATTGTGGTTCAGAAGCTGGAAGAAACCCCATAGTGTTTAAACTGGGAGAAAAGTGAGCAAACATTTTTGATGTTAAAAGTCTACTGCATGGGGACAGTCAGAAACCATTCTTTAAGTAAAAAGAAAGGGTAATTTCTTTTGACATGGGTGCATATTGAGGAGAGAGAAAGAAGATGTAAAATAGTAGCTGGAATGAACTGAAAGAAAATGGCCTTCCAGCACATTAGTGTTTGAGTGTTCCTCTTGCCTTGCACAGGGAGCAGTGGAAAGAGGAGCTTTCTGTTCAGGGTAGCAGTCATCCAGCACTGCTGTGCTTTAGCAGTGTCTTTGAACTAGACCAGAGCTGTATGTGGTGCAGACCAATCATCTGACTCAAAGACTAGGTTAAACACTGTCATGTTTATGCTTCAGAAGAAAGCTAATGCCTGACTGTGTCAAGGAATGTTTTAACTGCGCTCTTTAATGTGGTTGTTGGAGAAGAGTTTCACCTCTTGCTATATGGGCCTTTTTTTGTGCAAACACCAAAGAGAATTCAGGAATCCTGCTCTCAGGAGCAGGAGTCCTGTGCTAAGGAATAAAAGAATAAACTACTTTTTTTCTTTCTTTTGTTTTCTTTATTTCCTCCTCCCCCCCCCCCCCCCCCCCCCCCCCCCACCTTACAGAGAGAAGCAATTCCTGATCTTTGACTGTGGTTCATGTTGAGAGGTCTATTGCCTCCAGTTTTGGTTTCATTTCTATATCAAAATAAAACCCCAGACAGAGCCAAGGACACATTTTCTAAGGCAGTAAATATTCTCAGAATCCAGATAAAAAGTGTAATTGGAAGGAAGTAAACTTGGATTTAAGTTTCTCTTGGAACACAAATGAAAGGAGACTCTAAATTATCAAAGAAGTAATTCTGTGAATGAAAATTATCATCTTACTTTTGAAATGGATTATTTTGAAAGCTACCATTACTTCAGAAGTAACATTTATTTTTTTCTGGGCAACAGAAACAAGCTGACAGTGTTATAGTGAGTGCAGAAACAGGTAACTTGTCTTATCAATACTTTTCGGAGGGTTTCCTTACAGGAAATGGGACAATTAAGTAAGGACAGGCAGTTGATTGCTTTCAAAAAAAGTGCTTTGGTCACCCTAAGACTGTTCATCATAGTAGGTTGAAATTTATTTATAGTTGGAATAAAAATTGGCTCTAGGTTTACAAACCTGAAGTATAGTGTGCTACCAGATTGCAGAAATGTGGAAGACCTCCCAGAGGCTCAGCTTCTTCCTGTGCTTTCAGGGTGTTGGCTTTTAATTTTTTGCTCTCTTGAATGTTCCCTGATGGCAATGCTAAGTAGTTGTGGTGGTTATCTTCCTCTAATGGAGCTGTTCTATTTTGTGTCAAAAATGTAAATACTTGTTGTGAAAGGAGGAATTTGTGGTCTTGGAGGATTTAAGGAAGATCTTTTTAAACAATTTGTAGCCCACCCCAAAAAAGGGTTCCAGGTCAAAGAAACGTGAATTGTCAGGAGGGGATTAAATCAATCCATCCCAGTGCGCCCAGGTGCCATGGAGTATTTACCTTGTTCTGTTTTGAAGTAAGATGTCAGCATTGAAAGTCCTATTTTCAAAAACATATGCACATTCTTTCCCGTCACTAAGCCCTGAATAGCTGTTCTGTAACATCCTATTGATAATAGGGTTTTTTATAGCTGCTTGCTTTTCTTCTGCTTCCCTTGTTTTGATCATCTCACTTTTTTTCTCATCATTTCCCTACTGATTTTGCTTCTCAGGTAGAAATTCCAGTCTAATCACTTTCAGATACGTTTTTCACCTAGGGACAGTTCTTCCTCAGGGAGTGGTCATTGTTTCAGAGCCAGTCTCTTTACCGAGGTGCACTTTGCACTTTCTAAAAAGGCAGTCTGAAGGAAGACATAGATTAAGCACTAACTGCCTTGCCAAAAGGGAAGTGTGTTTGTGTGAAGTAAATTGCACGCATTTGTATAATAACAAGCTGTATTCTTATTTCTGCTGGCAGTATAAAAAATAGAATAGTTTCCATCTGCCATCAGGACATACAGATTTATAATACAGATCATGTGGCGGCAATCTACCATTTATATTTCTTGGCTATTGGGATAATACAGCCTGGCATAAACATAAAACCTGATGTGTTTCTGTCCACAGGTCAGTTGATTACTTTCTGTTCCAGTGTACTCTCGACTGAATTTTTGGCTTTATGTTTTCTCCCTGTTTTCCTTCCTTTCTAGGTTTTCAAAAATAGTCTCACTGTCACAGCTGAACAAGAAAAAATAGTGGTAACGACCATCTCTTATAGCACCACTGTGTTGCCTGGTGTCAGTAGAGAAAACGAGACTATAAAATCCACCATTTAAATAGTTTTCAAAGTATAACCAACATGATTAGAATAATCACATTTTGGTACATTAGATTTTGGCCTGCTAATTCTTATTCAAAAATAAATCTGATTTTAAGAGTTTGGTGGAAAATGTTCTCCCACACCTATGAGGAGTGCTCAGGAGTGTTGAGTTTTATTTTCAGTTCCTTGTTGGTCATGTTGATCCATAAGTATCAGTTCTTCAATTGTAAAGCAGTTTGAATTGATTTGTAGAGTCATTTGAAGCATTTTTTGTCTATTCCATTTTCAAAGGGCAAAAAAAGAAAAATCTCTTTTCTTCAGGTAAGTTCAGCCAAAGACTGTGGCAGATTCTTGTTGCATGCACTGTTTTTTTGGGAGTGTATTTTTGTTTGGTTTTATTTATTGTTGGTATATCATGTTTGCCACTATCTTACTATTCCCCTCTCCTGGCAACTATGAGCAGAGATGAAAAGACTATCTGAGCTCCAGAGCCCCTAGCCACCTCTCCCAGGCCTCTGTAGTCCTTATGCTCCCCAGGCTACTGCTATCTATATCCCTAGCACCCACATGTATCACTAGAAGTGGGTAATAATCCGTGGGACTTACTAGAACAGGCAGCCTCTCTGCAACATCCCTGATCCGTGCCCTAGGTAGACAACACACCTCCCTTGAGACCGGGTCAGGCAAACAGATGGTTGCCTCTGTCCCTTTCAAAGTAGAGTCCCCTACTACTACGACCCGCCGCTTTTTCCTGGCAGCACCAGCAGAGATCTTCTTTACCAGTGCACCAGACGGCTGTTTCTGGTGTGAGTGCGTTTCCTCATGAGCCTCCTGCAGGACAGCAAAGCGGTTCTGAGTGGGGACAGCAGATTTAGAAGGAAGCCCCTTACTTTTAATTGTTCTCTCCCTTCTTTCTTTGTTGTTTTGTTTTGTTTTGTTTCTAATTCCCATCTTCCCCGGTTAATGGCCTCCTTCTTTCCACCATGAGCTAGAGGTGAAGCTTGAGGCCCCTGCACAGTTAGGGCCAGGAGCAAGCATTCCTGCTTCCTCTCAGCTTCCCTGACATCTCGCAGTCTATTAACAGCATCCCGCAGCTCAGCCCCTGCTGCAGGAGGACCTCCACCAGGGAGCACCGAGTGCAGCCCTGCCCACTGTGCACCCTCCCCTCACTAGACCGGTGCAGGCACCCTCTACACCCCGAGCTCTGCACTGCAGCCTCCCCTCTCACTGGCCCTGTCTGGGTGCCTACGCTGCCACCGCCGGGGCAGCCAGAGCAGAGCTCCCAGACCCGGCCCTGTCATACAGCGAGTGCTCACCATCCCGCTCACCTGCCCGCACAAACCGCCTCGACCCGCTCCTGGTCGCAGGTTTTTACCCAGCCAGGGCTGGTGCCGCTGCTCCTGGCTCCGCCCCGTGTGAGTCAGCTGCTCGCTCTCGTCAGCTGAGCTGCCGGCTCCTGGGCAGGACCTGGCGAGGACTTGAGGCTCCCTCGGTGGCTCTCGTGGCTCTGAGTTGAGGCTCCTGGACGCTAAGCTTCCCCCTGCTCTGGTGTTGAAGGCGTCCTCTCTCGAGCTGCTCACCTCAGCAACTGACCCACAAATAAGCCACTGTCCATCATATTTGAAAAATCATGGCAGTCAGGTGAAGTTCCCAATGACTGGAAAAAGGGAAATATAACCCCCATTTTCAAGAAGGCAAAAATGGATGACCTGGGGAATTACAGACCAGTCAGTCTTACCTCTGTGCCTGGCAAAATCTTGGAGCAGATTCTCCTGGAAGGCATGCTAAGGCACATGAAAAACAACAAGGTGCTTGGTGACAGCCAGCATGGCTTCACAAAGGGGAAATCCTGCCTGACCAATTTGGTGGCCTTCTATGATGGGGCTACAGAACTGATGGACAGGGGTAGAGCAGTTGACGTCATCTACCTGGACTTTGTGCAAGGTGTCCAACACTGTCCCACACAACATCCTTGTCTCTAAATTGGTGAGACATCAATTTGATAGGTGTACCACTCGGTGGATAAAGAACTGGCTGGATGGCTGCACGCAAAGAGTTGTGGTCAATGGCTCAATGTCCAGCTGGAGACCAGTAACGAGTGGCATCCCTCAGGGATCGGTGTTGGGTCCGGTCTTGTTCAACATCTTTGTTGCTGACATGGACAGTGGGATTGAGTGCGCCCTCAGCAAGTTTGCCGATGACACCAAGCTGTGTGGTTCGGTTGATACGCTGGAGGGAAGGAATGCCATCCAGAGGGACCTTGACATGCTTGTGAGGTGGGCTGATGCCAACC